AAAGCAGTGAAATTGGCAGAACCATACAAACCTTATGGCGGGCAATTCCTCGAATTCTGCTCCATTTCCTTATCCACATACCAAACATGCATAACACTTACCAGAAGAAGTACCGAATTCTGCCAATTTTTCTGCCAGCATTATCCGCATATGCCTACAGTGCACCCAACTCGCAACACACGAACAGTCCTTGGCTGCACCCCGTGCAGTAAATTGTCCAAATTTTCACCCAGGAGGGCATCATCAGGGAGACAGGGAATGATGTTTTGTCTGGCAAAATGCATCTTCCTTTTGATAACTATTTATGTTCTGATAACACTTTAGCTGATGTATGGAATCGAGCATGAGTACGAGGACGAAAGTGCGGAATCGGAGCCCGACGCGCGCTAGCGCGGAGGGCTCCGATTCTAGCACTTGAGTCCGAGTACGAATGCTTTGATACCATTTCTGACATGCATGCTGAATCGGAGCACGCCTAGGCGTGCTCCGATTCAATCGGAGCACGCCTGGGCGTGCTCCGATTGGAAAATCGGAGACCTGCAAGCGCTCACAGGTCTTCAGTGGCTGATTCAAAGCACGGCAAGTCGCGCTAGGATTCGCTGTTGCCATGTCGATTGTCATGTGACATGTCAGAAGTATGGAATCGAGCATGAGTACGAGGACGAAAGTGCGGAATCGGAGCCGACGCGCGCTAGCGCGGAGGGCTCCGATTCTAGCACTTGAGTCCGAGTACGAATGCTTTGATACCATTTCTGACATGCATGCTGAATCGGAGCACGCCTAGGCGTGCTCCGATTCAATCGGAGCACGCCTGGGCGTGCTCCGATTGGAAAATCGGAGACCTGCAAGCGCTCACAGGTCTTCAGTGGCTGATTCAAAGCACGGCAAGTCGCGCTAGGATTCGCTGTTGCCATGTCGATTGTCATGTGACATATCAGAAGTATGGAATCGAGCATGAGTACGAGGACGAAAGTGCGGAATCGGAGCCCGACGCGCGCTAGCGCGGAGGGCTCCGATTCTAGCACTTGAGTCCGAGTACGAATGCTTTGATACCATTTCTGACATGCATGCTGAATCGGAGCACGCCTAGGCGTGCTCCGATTCAATCGGAGCACGCCTGGGCGTGCTCCGATTGGAAAATCGGAGACCTGCAAGCGCTCACAGGTCTTCAGTGGCTGATTCAAAGCACGGCAAGTCGCGCTAGGATTCGCTGTTGCCATGTCGATTGTCATGTGACATGTCAGAACAATGCTTCTGACATGTCACATGACAATCGACATGGCAACAGCGAATCCTAGCGCGACTTGCCGTGCTTTGAATCAGCCACTGAAGACCTGTGCATGTGAGCGCTTGCAGGTCTCCGATTGAATCGGAGCACGCCTAGGCGTGCTCCGATTCAGCCATCAGAGGCCGCTTTTTTTTTTTTTTTTTTTTTTTTTTTTGATGGAGAGTCTCCAACTGCAACCAATGCTGCTACCCGTGCTCTTACAGCGCCAACAACGAGCGTTCAGCGATCACAGCAGCAGACTGAGTTCCACGATCCCGACATTGATGAGTACATCGCAACTTGTGACCCAACAGTGCAATCCCCAACTCACCAACGGTCTCTGATGCAGAAAGCTACGAAGACCATCAACTTTTCCGGAGCTCAGTTTGGTGCAAACTGCAATGTTCACCTGCACCTGTAGGCTGTAGGCTGTAGTCACTGCGAAGAAGAGAAGCTGAACTGACCTGGTTTTTAGCTGACTAGACCGCCCTTGTTTTATCTCTGTGTTGTGACTGTGTACATTAGTCATTATGTAACATGTCTGAAGTACTAAACTGGCGACTAGTTGTGTTCCTTGTCTGGTCTAGTGTGCGTGCCTTGAGTAGGTAGATCTACTAGGTATGTGTGAAGTACTACAATCATGTAGTAGTACTAGTAGTACGAAGTAGTTCGTGCAATGCATGTCAGAAATGGTATCAAAGCATTCGTACTCGGACTCAAGGGCTAGAATCGGAGCCCTCCGCGCTAGCGCGCGTCGGGCTCCGATTCCGCACTTTCGTCCTCGTACTCATGCTCGATTCCATACTTCTGACATGTCACATGACAATCGACATGGCAACAGCGAATCCTAGCGCGACTTGCCGTGCTTTGAATCAGCCACTGAAGACCTGTGAGCGCTTGCAGGTCTCCGATTTTCCAATCGGAGCACGCCCAGGCGTGCTCCGATTGAATCGGAGCACGCCTAGGCGTGCTCCGATTCAGCATGCATGTCAGAAATGGTATCAAAGCATTCGTACTCGGACTCAAGTGCTAGAATCGGAGCCCTCCGCGCTAGCGCGCGTCGGGCTCCGATTCCGCACTTTCGTCCTCGTACTCATGCTCGATTCCATACTTCAAGCACTTGTAATAATTCTTACACCCGTTGCTCATAGTCATGCAGTACAGACCCACTGCTGTATTGTGGTGTGACCTGCATGACGATTGTAGACCGTGGACGACTGGCTGTGCATGCAGCATACAATTACAAACCCTGCTCAGTCTCTTGTAGCATAATAATACATGACTTGTATTGTTAAAATATTCCTGTGATTGTGAACGCTGAGGAGCTTCTCAGACTTGTAGACTGCACCTTCCTGCAAAATGTGCAGCAATATTTTCAGTTGTCTCTTGAGTTGTATTGATTGCTGGGACTTCCGCTTCTCCCTGGATCCGAAATAATAGTTCCAGTCGCACTGGAAGCAGCGGCGCATTGCTCCTGGTCTTTCCTTCCGAGCCTTGACTTCAGTTCTCCACCTGCACCTGGCACCTGCACCTGAAAAACGTAGGCAGCAAGGGAAGTAGCTACAATGTAGTTTGTACCTAACTTCTTGCTACATCGATAATCATGCAGGATTCCTGGTATGTAGCTCACTAGCTAGCTGCACTGCTTCCCTCAGCTCAATGCGTCATGTCACGTGCATGTAGCAACCACAGCGTCGCGGTAACTGTCTGTGTATTGAACTACACTATTCTAGTGCTCTTTCAACTCCGGCACCAGCTAGCTACCAAGAGATCACGTCCGTTGATCACACGACCGCAGTATACTAGTACAATAGTAGTCTGTGATCTTGACACCTTTCCTTATATCTGCCCGTCTCCATCCATAATAATTATGTTTGTTTTGGAATATCTTTCGGACCAGAGAAGCAGTTCCCGCAAAGCATTGTGTTTGAGACGATTGAATTGGTTGACGTTCCTCGCTTCCAACGCCGCGTCGTGATAAAACCATGGGAGGCTAATTGTTCCAAACTCCAAGAAAACGTCCCCACCGTAGAACTAACCAGCGTTTCTATGATCATGATAATGTCCTTTGTCGTATTGGAGTTGTCAACAACGGATCTTCCGAAAACTTCCAGGTGAATATTGCAACCGCTGGAGAAGGATGAACGACCATCCCCGCGGCCAGCTGCACATGGCGGCATCAGTGCTCATAGGTGTCCTGTGCCTTAGCTTTCTGGTCCCGATCAGAGGCCAGGTGCCACAGGTGGACACCGGCTTGAGCGCCACGTCCACCATCGCGTGCAACGCTACCTCGACGGACACCGGTATAGCTTGGTTCGGTGTGCTGTATCTGCACCAGACCGGAGCGGCGAGCAGCTTTGCCGACTACACTTTCCAAATCATCGGTGGTTTCTTATCAGACACATCATCGGCAGCGTTCTACGGTCCTGGCTTTGGAAATGTCAACGGGTCTCTTCACTCCATCTATGATGAAAGCGATCCGCCAGCAGGGGGAGCATCTTCGCCAAGCGTAAGTAGTTCATTCATAATCATTCGCGAGTATCATGGCTCCTGCACCGTGGCGGAAAGCATTTCCAATAACGGGTCGAAGTAAGGGCTGCTGTGTGTGTGTGTGAAGCACGCCATGGTTCATGGGGATTCGCGCTTGTATTTTTGAGGACAGTGCACTGGAAAACACTCGGAAAGAGGTGGATGGTGTTTCGTCAAGTTTCCAGAGCGGATGTGCACACTTCAGTGAAATTTCATTATGACTGCATAAGCAAATATATGACGGCGAATATCTGAGGTGCCGAGGTGAGATTACATCCAAATACATGTACTTCCGAAGTAGAAGACAATAAACCACTATGGTCCTATGGGGTGCGGGTAGTAGGGAACTGGCCCAGGCAGGGGACAGCAAGTACACAGGGAAGTGAGTGTTCCCCTTCCTTTGGCCTTGTGCCTTTGGAGTAGACTGCTTGCACCCATCTCTCAAGTTATCACCCTCAGTCAGTGTTAGGCTATTGCTCACCTTTACGATCCCCATCCCACCCTCTTTACACCTTGAGCGCGCAGTCCTGCCCCATGTTGGCGTTCACCCTCCAAGTTATCATTTTCCCAAGACAGCTTCCTAGCCTTCACTGCTTACTGCAGCGCCAAGTGTTCACACTCACCCAATTCCCTATATACTCTAGTGCTGTTCCCTACCGACGCCACTGAGGTATAAAGTAGCCCGTTTCTGTTTCTCATCATCAATTACCTGATCATCGAACTGCCATGCCACACACAGGCACAAACCGGCTCTGGTGTTACAGCTGATTCCAAGTGCTTCCTTGTCTTCTAGGTGCCAAGGATTGCTTTGCGTCCAGCGTATTGAGCACTGCTCCAGAAATTAGTGCCACTTCGGCTTTCTCCCTGATGAGAAAGCTATTTTTAAATATTTTCAGCGCCTATGAGCAAACTGTGATGTACTGCATTGATGAAAATAACCGTTGCAGGCTAGGAAATGCGTGGAGTAAGCAATGCTTCAACAAGATAGTGGAATCTCTCTATTACTCGTGTGGCTGAAAAGCTGACGGTCAGACCTATACATGTACTACCACTGAGGAATGTATCCTGATTTCCGAGTGATGACTTGTTTGGGAGCAGACAGCTGGGACTCAATATATGCCCTGTACCTAGGGTGCAGGTGGCCCTGTATCTAGGATGCAGGTGGCCCTGTATCTAGGATGCAGGTGGCTTTTATTGAAATGCATCAGCTAAGAGATAGTCTACAGTAATGGGAAACAGGTATTGCCATGACATACATGTAGAGAGGCGGCCTCCAGTACAGTGCCTAGTGCGCACAGCTAGTTCTCTAGCTCGAACTGTACAATTGTGACACACATTGTACTGCTTGAAGTACAATGTCATGTATATGCACCAATACTGTAGAATTAAGGCAGATTCCCGTGTGAAACATCCGTCATGTGTTCAGGGTTCACAACTTATATGCAATAAATCATTTTAACTCATAGGTTCAATTGACCGATTCCCTTCGCCTCATTGTGTACAGATAACAGGTCAGTGGTTGACGATATCAGCAACGGACGTGGTGCTGTTCTACGCCGGCCTAGTGCAAGTTCACGTACAGCTCATTGATAATGTCACACTGAACGGATCTTGCCAGTGTGAGTAACTGATCCGTGACTGCGTTGATAGCTGATCACAGACTATGTTATGTGTTCATGTATGGTTACAGTGCTGCACAGTGAAAGGCGCGTGATCTAGCGACGGTGAATGCCACGCCATGCGCTGTGCGGCCCTAGTCCTGGCAACACTGGGGTAGGTAGTGGTACAACACGCACACTTGATTCGTGGGATTGGATGTCACTGAGCAGCACTGTAGTATGTACAGCCGTGTGTATCCCGGCTTTGTCGGTTATCCAAGCAAGTCGGACATCCAACAACCTTGCTAGTCGGTCCCTTTTGTGAAACACTTCATACTGTCAGAACGGCGATGCTAAAGCCATCGAAGATAAAGCTGGCTGTGCCGGATAGTGATCAGAAAGCCTGAAGCCTGTTGTGAAATACATGATGGTGGGCAATCCCATCAGCATTAGCCATTGATCTAATATTATATTTATAAGCACTTCAGTTGCCTACGTTGTCATTTCTACCGTTGTGTACATTTAGGGCATCTGAAGCTTGCATAGTGTTTTCACCCTGGTGATGTTCCAGGCCCGGAACTTTGGTAGCGTGTGAATCTATTCACGGTAAAGAGACCGTTGTTGGAGATGGAGGAGTGAAGTTTTTTTTACATGTGGTGTCAGTCGTCCAACATTTTCAACTATGCAACAAGGCCCATTCCCGGAGTGGGAAGATAAATAACACTTTCGAATTTCCAGCAAACAGTTCACTGTGCCTGTCCCTTAATTCTATAGTGCTACCTTCACACACAGAAGTCAGAGTCACGGGTTGGTGGTAAAATCTGAGTTTCACCCTGAGCGATATCCAGGCACCATAAATGGAGTGGCAACTGACCATTGTGAGTTCTGTGTAAGGAAGAGCTCTAGTCCCTCTAACCCCTCTAACCCGGGCAGTAACCATGGTTTCGAGTAATGTAAAACGTCTACTGTGTAGTGTAGTGTTCATTCTATCGCACGCGGCAGATTCTGAAGCTATGAGTCGTTTGTCTCGTGCTCACTGCCAATTCTGCGGTGATTTGGTGTTGTACCGGGCTTGTGATGGCAAGTCTTGGTCATTTTGTATGGCAAAACTGCAGCTGGAAGACATTATTGCAAGCAATATCATAGAGAACTGGCATGACTTGGTGAGTTGAGTTGAGCAGAACACATCAGTGGTGAACATGAACTGAATCATTTATCTATTTCTGAGGTAGTCATAGTCAGCATGGAAAACCTGTGTGTTCTCTGGTGTGTTCTTTGCTCACTGCGTGCTTGCAGTTGTATCTGGTCAGGGACAAGCACCCGCTATCACTGGACTCAATCAGCACATTTGCGACAAGGCCAACACCAACCTGCTGCCCATCACCTGGTGTCACTACCAGAACCCGTACGTCTCAGTGCTGCCAGTCAGTGACGTGCTCTACAGCAGCGACAGCTGTTTTGGCATCGAGTGCACGGTGAAAGATAACACTGGCATCCCGTACAACTGCTATTTGAATGGCGAGCGTGACTACCAACACCCGCACTCGGTCTGCGTCGGAGTTATGCGCTTCACGGCGTTTGAATCGTACACGAATCGCTACAGCACCGTGACACCGTCTCGCGATGTGCACAATCGCACCCTGTATCCGTATCCATTTGTCTTCACCGTCATGGGACTGGAAACGGGACGCATGGTGGCTAACGTCGTCAACAACCTGGCGCACGCGGTCGGAGACAGCCAGTTCCTGTATGGTCAGCAGAACATCATGGTCAGACAGGCACACCGGTTCTCGGTCGAGCACCTCGTCTCGCTGGGGTTCACTAACAACGCGGCGCTGGACACCGTTGGCCTGGTGGCGTCCAGTGACAACATCACAACACAGCTCGTGTACCTGAACATGGACGTATGGCCACCCACCGGTATCAACATATGCCTCGATCTACAGCACACGCGCAATGGAGAAGAGCTCGTCTCGCTGCATCTGTGGGAGTCCACTGCTGACAACCATACTGCTGTTCTATCCGTCCTTGTGAGAAAGTTTAATACATTCGTATATGAACTGCAACACTACTCCTTTGACTTTTCGAAAAGTTTCGAAAACTGTC